GATGCAGCATTCAACGTTCGTCAGCATGTTGAGGTACAACTTCCTGGCACGGGTTTTGGCGGACTTGTTCTGCTTCTCGTCGCGATTAGGGGCTTTTTGTACCTTGAACGTTCGAAGCCCAGCCTTAGTTTTGGCCTTCTGGACAAAACTTCGGCTTAGGTGCAGCTTCTTAGCCACATCCCTAACGGAGGCGTTCGGATTTCGGTTGAAGGCCCCAACTACGCGGTTGTGATTTTTGGTGTTGTACGGAATACTTTTTCCTTCACTTCTGGGCTTCCGATCGGTGGTCAACCGTTCCTCAAACCGCTTAATCACTCGCGACATCGTGGAATTCGCGATTCCCAACGTTTTAGCGATGGAACGATGCGAGAGATCCTTGTTCTCGTGATGAATGCGCAAGATTTTATCACGCACGAGCTGTTCTTTCGACTCCATTTCTGCGAGTTTTGATCACAGGACTTTAAAACTTGCAGGATGTAAATAATGCACTATGAACTAAATCCACCCAAATTTTCATTAAATTGTACCCAACGGTTAAAAAGTTAGAGCAATTTCATAGTGTGGCAATTTCATCGTGGACACCCTTTATGCCCGGCACCTCAACTTGAACTTCATGTCTGCTATCTGTCACTTTTTGTAAAAATATCTAGAAACAATTACCTTTGTTGTAATACTTCCTGCATTTCCATGACCCTCTGGGAGGAGATTCGCGTCTAGTGCTTTCCCCAGGAACCGTTAACGGTCACCAGCACTTTCCCCTACCAATTTTCAAACTCGCACACGGTGACGAGACTCTCGATAGAACTACACGCTGAAAGCGCGACATTCGAACACGGTGAACCGGCCTCCCGGTAGGCAATGAAAATCACAAGCACACTTACACACCGCTGGTTACAAAAAAACACACCCGTGCAAAGAAACGGATCCAATAAACGTCACTTGCGAAAGCAAACCCGTCGTCTTCAAACGGCAAAAAAAGGAACTCAGTGAGCAATGTTATGATACGGAGTTTCCACTGAAAATCAACCGGAAATGCACGAATTTCACTACAACCAACTGCGAAACACGGTCAGAAGCACTTTTGATACACTTTCGGTATCAATTTCGGTCGAAAACACTTAATTTTTCGCAAAAATATTTGCGAGTGAACCAACATCAACACCGACCGTGTCGAGCTCTTTTACTTAAGGGGTTCCGCCACCCTAGAACAGAGGAAAATAAACCAATTTAATTAGTTTTTGTTGTTGCTTAAACAAGTTTTAAACTAAATGGGCTTATGTTGGCTAATTGCATGCGTCTTTAGGAGTACTTCCAGTATTTTTTCTTCAATATCAATAATAAATCGAAGATGGCAGCACTGCGTCTTTCTACCTCTGCTTCGCGTGTAATACTCTACGGCTAACAATCCCATCGCCGCAAATATCAACCTAAAACAAAACTGATTTTTATTTCGTTATCTCGATTAGAAAATCTATAAAAATATGCACGGAAAATGAACAATATGTAATTTTGGGTAAATGGGACGCTATTTTTGAAAAAACAAATCTCTTTTTTCACCAAAAATTTGTTTCTAACAAATGTCTTAAATTGCTTACCAGAATTGTAATTTTTTACTAATCAAAAAGTTCATACGTACTTCTGTAGATAATCCATTGAGGAATGAAACCAGAAAATTTCGCTCAAATTCATTCAAATTTAGAAATTTTATAGTGTTAGCCGTTTGTAAAAATATTGTTTCGAGAAAAACGCGGTTAAACGTCGAGGTACCGATTATTTGTAAAAATAAGTGCATGTAAACCTTCAGTCCACAATCCCGCGACACTTCAAAGTACATTTTTAGGAAAAAAACAATCAAATGTTTGAAATTTCTAGGGTGGCGTAACCCCTTAACCTTTTTTTTTCCAAATGGTGCGCTACTAATCACATGAGTTTGAATGCCAACAAATGCTCAGTAATTTCCTTTGGACGTAAACGCTCTGTCGTTTCATTTGATTATACGATTGCTGGAACATCTCTAAAGAGAGAATCGACTGTTAAGGATTTGGGTGTTCTGTTATCTTATTTTTTAAAGATCCTGATCGCGCACGGGCAGAACTTCCCTACGTTGTGTGATTAATAGATGGAGAAAATAAAACATGATTACTTATCGGGCCATCCTGCCATGGCAGAGGCATGCGAACTATTGAATTTATTTACGATCTTACAATAGAGAGAGAATAGATGCCTACTGTCATGATAACACTACGCTAGAAATCTTGTATATTCACTGTTTGAAGACCCTGTATTGTTCCTTAGCTCGTTCTAAATTGGAGTATGCAGTTGTGGTCTGGGCTCCTTACGATCAGAACAGCATATAGTAGATGCTATCCAACATAAGTTTATTCGCTTTGCTCTTCGGCGTTTGCCTTGGAATGATCCAAATAATCTCCCTAGATATGAAGATCGTTATATACTAAGTGACCTTGACCTTTCGGTTTGTAGGAATGTCACTAAGGCTTCTTTCATATCGGATGTTGTTCAATGTCACATAGATTGTCTTGTAATGTTACTTGAGTTGATACCCTCATACCGTCCGTTCTCACCATTTTATTCGTATATCGACAGTCCGTACAAATTATAACATTTGCCTTTTAGTAGTATGTGTCGTGTGTTCAATCGTTGTTACCATGTCTTTGACTTTCATCTGTCACGTTCAATTATTACAAATGGGTTCCGTGAAGTTCACAATTATAAGTAGTAGTAAGAAAATGGATAAGGTGATATTTTGTTTAGTCTTAAGTAAATACTGTACTTTTTTTGTTGATGCGAAAAGATGAGGAGGTTTTATGCCCATTTGAGAAAAAAAGCTTTTTTGTAAAGTCCACTCAAATGGGCTGCTCCCTGCTTTAAATAAAAAATAAAGAATAATTTTCTCGCATTTTTTCTAAAAAATTTTTGCCAGAATATCGTTGTAATACTATTTGGAAATCTTTTGAAATTTTCATCAATTTTTTGTTGAACTATCTTTGGAATTCGGAATTCAATACCCTTCGAATTTTCTTTTGAATGGCCTTAAAATTATCATTTGAATTAATTTGAAATACTCCTGGAACATAGCGGCACCAATGGTGTAGTGGTAAGCGTGATTACCTCTCACCCCAGCAGACCTGGGTTCAATCCCAGTCGGCGCCACCGGGATGTTCTGAGGCATAACATCTCTGATCATGCCTTCCTTTGGAAGGGAAGTAAAGCCATTGGTACCTTATGAGTTGATGGGTCGATAGGTAAGGTCCAGGTGTGTGAGCTGCCTCCCTGGCGTTAGTAGCATTGGTGCTCAGCACGGAAAACAAAATCGACAGAAAATAAATCAAGGGAAAAAAATATAACTATTTATACATATCGCAAATCTACATTAACACGATAAAAAACCAAATTTTCCAGAACATTCAAGATCACTTAATTAATAATTCATATAAATATCAATATTAATTCTACAACTAGACCCAAGCAACCACTTAGACAAAAAAGTGCTCCTATCCACCTTAATCTGGTCTATTCAAAATTTACAAATACTGGAATAGCCGTTGCTCAGCTATATAAAATATATGCAGGGTACATATCAAAAAACGCGAAAGAGATTGCCAATGGTTACTTTGAGTATTAGTAAGCGATCATAGTTCCCAAATGATATTGTCACTTCTATTGGGCATTTGTCAATTTTTATAGATCAGATAGATATTTTTGAAAAAAAAAATTGGCAGCCCTGATTAGAGGAGTGAAGTTTTCAACAGGCTTGTTAATCGTTTACGTCAGTGTTAACGTTTTCAATAGAAATTTGTTATAAACGTTCAAAAAAATCACAGTACTATCGTGTATAGTCGAGGACTCTAAAATAAAGTTTCCAAAAATCGAAGCAAACTATTTCCAAATTTGTAAACTCTATAGGAATTGTAAAAACAAGCTTTGCAGCTTGTAGATTTGAATGGACATTTTGGAGATAGTTCCATAAAATTGACAATAAAAATTCTTATGCACTTTACCACAATTTCAGGAAAATTCTGAAATGAACCCCGAAGAAATTCTGACATGAAATCCTAGAAAATTCAGAAACAAATTTAGTCGGACAGGAAGTCCAAGAAAATTCTGATTACATTTTAAAGGGAATCTGATTTAGGCTTCAATGGAATTCTAAGGAGAACTCCAATTCTGAAAATAGTATTAGAAAAAAAATCCCTTGAACTAAGCATTTGACACATTAGATGAGGAATCCAAAATAACTTCATTTTTAAGCAACCGTTAGCTATATTTAATAAATTAGGAAAGGGCGTCATTTTCATTGATTACCAAGGGCGCTGAAAACCATCACTTCGTCGCTGGATTTCTCATTTGCGCATCGAAGGCGATGTACATGAGAAAGCGAGGATCACGAGAAGAGATTGTATGTACCAGTGATAGATCTAGCGATGTGTGCCGCCATGTATCCAAACGAGCATTACTGTACGATCTGATAGTTCGTTTGGATAGGTCAGTTCACATCGGAAGGTCTTTATCTATGAGTGTCGATAGTGGACATCACACGGCTACACGTATCAATATTATTGACAATAGTCATATAGTCATTACCTCCGTCAATATCGTCAACACATCTGTATTGACAATTTTTTATCAATATTTAAATTCACGCCATCTATATTATTGTGAATAATTCCCCTTCGCATCACTAAATTGTTGCCTGTGGGTTCTACTTAAAGGTGAAATTGGTTCTCGAAAACGAACTTATTGGAGATAGGAAAAGAGGCAGCGAGCCATGTGGATCAACGAGGTTTCTGCAGATGGCGTGGCTGGAGACATGCTGAATCGAGTAGAAAACGACAACATATATGTACAACGAGTTTATTAAGCTTTACTGACGTCTTTTATTTGTCTATAATATAAAAAAATATACTATTCCCTGTAACTTACTACCCCTTATAATGCTTAATCGGAAAATATACCTTCCTGTGAGTACGTAATTATGGCAATATTCTACATTATAAGAAATGTTTTTCTTTGCGTGAGTTTTACCCAAATGAAATAATTTTATCTTGCATTTTAAACACATTTTCGATACTTATCACCCTTATCAGTTACCATCTACAATGGAAAAGTGTCCTAATTCACTCATGTGTCTAAAGATTTCAATTAGTCGTTTATCCACAGCCTCCCCACCGCAAATCCTGGTCCAGTGTTTCATCTCGGCTGAATTAATATCCTTGGTAAAGTGATACGACAATTGGGCACATTCTTCCTCCGAGCATATCATCCACGGTAAGAAATGGGCTGCCACCATGCCTCCATATAGGCCGAACTTGGTCAAGTGCTTCATGAAATTGCCGTAGTTGTATACAGCCAGTCGCGGATCGTCTTTTTCGCATTTTAAAATATCCGTCAGCGTATCCAGTAGACTATCGTGATAATGCTTTAGCAGTGGTGTCCAAAACTTTTCGCGAAAGCCCGTCGGCATACTCATGCACATAAAAAATGTCAAATCCATCGATGGGGAACCGTAGCGGTTCTCCTGGAAATCGAACATGCGGAGATCAACCGGTTTCTCATCCTCGTACTTGAACAGTACATTGTTTCGATTGAAATCACCATGAAGAATCACCGAAAACTCATTTAATTCCAAGAATTTTTGCATCAAATGTATGGGTTCTTTTCCATACTTGCTGCGAAGCTTAGTCATATCAGATTTGAACTGTTCACTATCCAATTCCGTAGGATGCTTATCAATGTATTCAAAAATGCGCTCCAAACCAAGCCTGAACAGAACGGCATAACTGTTGAAAATTTTCCCATCTTTGGCATAATACATAGGATTTATTCCATCTACCAACTTTTCTAGTCGCTCTTTGTCCAGAATCTTCATAGCATAGGTGCACGCATGAAACTGGGCAATCCTTCTTGCCATCAATACCAGATGGTATTCATCCAAATCATTTCTGGGCCCAGCTCGGAATCCATCTAATGTCATATTTTCCATGACCAATATCGTTTCGTAGATATCACTGAATCGGGGAATTTTCCCAGCCGTTCCATACAGTATCTTTGGGCACCAGTTTTCTCCGCGAACTGAGCATCCATTAGTTGCCAGTAGATCAATAAAGGCTGGAACTACTTTTGTATATATATAGATTTCGTTGGTAAATTGAGTTTTGGCTAAACTACTTTCACGAAACGCATCGTCTCCTTTCATTACCTTTACCATTAAATTTATTGTTTTCGTCTCGCTAAAACAAAAACCAATTAATCATTCGGAATGCAAGTGTCATTGCAAGATTGAAAATTACCTTGTCTTCTTATCTCTTGTGACTAGAACCAGGTTGTGTATAACAGACATGAATCCATCCAAATGTTCCGGTGTTGAAAGTTTAACTTCCAACAGTTCATCATCACTTCGATTCAATTTCAGGATTGTTTCGGTTAGTTCTCCTCGAATAAAATCTAGCTTTTGTTTTTCGCCCATATTGCACAAATCAGCCTCCAAAATACTTTCGCATTAGCAAACACGCACAATGAAATCGTAAATCTTACACGTTGGAAGTTTCAGCGTGCACTGCTGGTCAAAGCATAGAACTGAGTTTTATCAATAAGTGGCTTGCCGGTATTTGCAAACCGACAAGCGACCAGTGATAAGTAAACACCAACACCCACACTGCAGTAGAGGTGTTGCGAATTCGACGATGAGAGCACCAGCTACGGCAGCTGGCCAGGGTGAAGCATGACAGGCCGAATGAGGATGGTGCTAACGGGTAGTTCAAATGATGCCATACACGCTAACTTGAAAGTACCCATTAATGGTTAAAAAAGACCCATTTTGAAGAAAAGTGGCTTAACTCATTAAATGAGTAAATTTTTTACCCATTAATGAGTATCTGTTACCCATTAATGAGTAATTGTTAATCATTAATGGGTAACAGATACTCATTAATGGGTAAAATTGTTTAATCATTAATGAGTTAAGCCACTTTTCTTCAAAATGGGTCTTTTTTTACTCATTAATGAGTACTTTCAAGTTAGCGTGTAACACATTCGTATTATCTTATAATGTACATGGTTAGAAAAATGTACTCAAAATTAAGTTATTTTCACTCATCTCGGCACTATAGTGCAGGAACCCAAAAGTAGGTAAAGCGGGTCAAAGTAATTTTCATTTACTTGTGTGCAGTTTGTATGGAATTTTCAACTGGCTTTTTAACCAAAAGTAAGTTAGTTGTACCCAACAGTAGGTAAATATGATTATACTCAACGTTGGGTTCCCACACTTTACTACCTCTGTTGGGTGGTTTTGCTCCTCCGTTTTTGACAACATTAGAAGGAGAAAACGTGACAAACTAGTCAAAAGTAGGTAAAAGTGAACTTTCCGTTGGGTACTATTTTCTTACCTTGTAGGACAATGCAAACAAAAAATCAGGTGATGAATCTACACTAAAAAAATATTGAAATCTAAATAGTATAAAAATTACGCTAAATCGCAACTCTCCGTACCGACGCAAAGGTCGGTATAAAAGGAGAGAATGCAAACTTAGTATAAAAATGGTTTATGCGTGCCATAGTATAAAATCGAAATATACTTAAGGCCGGCGCGCATTAGATACATTTTCGGGTTTTTTGACAGATGGGCTAACTGTCATGGGCTAACTGTCAAAAAACCTGAAAACGTATCTATTGTACGCCGGCCTTTACAATGTATAGATACGGTTTATTCGAGAAAATGTATTTTTCGTTTCTCTATTTTATTTATGGCAAATATTATTGTTTTCAAATAAAAATAAAAATTGTATAAGGAAGGTTTTTTAATTATTTTATTGTTTATGAATATTATTTACAAAATACTTACAATTTCGATGTTCATCAGGATGAACTCGTGCTCACACAGTCTAGCTGCCCAGGCGCAGTATATCCAGCGGTACAAAGCTCTTCACCAGCACGAAGCTCCGAAGAGAATCCAGATGTTCTTTTTCCTATCATTTTAGTAAACACTGATCGAATTCCAATCCGTTAGTCGGACTTAGTATAATTTTGACGAAAAGTTTAATCGAACCAATGTATAAATTTTGAAAAACCATAAAATGCATAAAATTTAATCTATATTCGTTTTGTAATATTTTTGAGTGTAAGTGTGGATCGGATAGTGCTATAATTCAACCATGTAATTTAGCCGGCGCCGGTGGTGTCGTGGTAAGCGTGACTGCTTTCTAACACCCCTATGGGTCTGGGTTCAATCCCAGCCGAGTTCGGTGGGATTTTTCTGAGGCATAAAAATCTCTGGTCACGTCTTCCTTCGGATTACCTTTCACCCCAGCAGGCCTGGGTTCAATCCCAGTTGGCGCCGCCGGGATGTTCTGAGGCATAACATCTCTTATCACGCCTTCCTTCGGAAGGGAAGTAAAGCCGTTGGTCCCCGGTTCATGAGTTGATGGGTCGATATGTAGGGTCCAGGTGGGGGAGCTGCCTTTCTGGCGTCGGTAGCATTGGTGCTCAGCACGGAAAACAAGATCGACGAAAAACAAACCAAAGAAAAAAAAAATATCATGAAATAAGGAAGTCTCATACGAATTGTTTGAGAGTCATGTTTAGAAGAAAGACATTTGGAATACCGTGCCGATTCAAATTTCGGACACTTAAACTCGAATTTCGGACACTTTTAAAAGTTGATTATCTCGGTCGAATATGATCCACATGTCTTGTAAATTTTAAATTTTTTTGACTAGTGCCCTCCACGATCATCCAACATTATTACTTTGTTTCTAACTGGATGTAATATTTAATTAAAAATGAAAGTGTCCGAAATTTGAATCGTCCAAAATTTGAATCGGAACGGTACTTCCATTTGTTTTCAGATGATCAATTTTCATAAAATCTTAATCTTTCAATAATTTATTGATAGAGCTGGAATTAGGACGCAACAGCTTTTGTAAACAATGACTTCTATCGATGATTTCTCGAAAATCAAGGCACGCCCACGCAAACCAACATGACCAACGGGAAGGGGAAGTCTGACGTTGATTTGAGTAGGCGAGCCTTAGCTTGCTAGAAATCATCGAGAGAAGTCATTGTTTACAAAAGCTGTTACGCCCTAATTCCAGCTCTATCTAGATTTATTGATGCCACAATAACATACGCCAAAGAATAATCATCGAGACTCCCTAGTGGTGATTGGAGCGCATGCGCAGTTACGTATAGCGAATCTAGTTGACAGTTTTTGAAGCATTGGCCAAAGCATTGCTTCATGAATAAGCTTTATGGCACAGTGTAATAAAATCAAACGAGTGTGCTTTTATGAAACTTTTTTGGCAGAGCTCATACACAGAGGACTTCACATTCGGGTTTCCTATAGGTCCTTTCACTGTGACTGTAGATTATACAATCAGTGTATTTCGGCTACCGTAAACCAGGGGCTAATTGATCACTTGATATTGAAAATATTGATATATCTGTAAATTTCACAGAAAATATATTTCTCAAAATTGGAATCGTTTTACCGTTATTTATTAAATAATTCATAACACTTATGGCACTAATACTTATGAAAAAGACCACTTTCAATTAGGGTTGCGACCATTCGTTTGCTATGAAAAAAAGTTGAAGGGTCTGTGCACGGGTGGTGAGGCACGAACGGAAGCTTGACGTAGGACCGCTAGTGGACGGAACAAATATGTTGATAATTTCGTTCTTAACTCTTTCCGTTTTTGAATTGGTGGCCCTGAAAATAGCCGGTTGTTTTTCAAATGCTGGCCACACCAGTGCAATAGTCGATGCCGACCGAATGACGGCGGTCTAGTCATGCTGCCTACAGAGTTCTTTACCACCGTTAGTATTAGTGAGCAGTTTCACTAATACATGCGTTTTACTGGTTGAAAATAAAAAGAATAAACCGCTGTCAAGTCGAACACTTTGACAGCTGATCGTGGTTGAAAATAATAAACAAATCGATTTTACACGGCTACACTAGCAACGTTGTATTGGTGAAATCTTGCGGCAAGAAGTCAATTGCGGGTAGCCTTTCCTCCGGTCGATGTGGATGTTTTCGACGACGACGTATTGGCAACAATCAATACGAAACTAACGATTTTAAATTGGCTCACCACTTTAGTAGCCTATTGGTCCCAAGCAAACGATTAACGTACCCTATTCTAGTCGAAATTCTAGTACTACGCAATGTTTGTTTTGATTCGCTATGAAAGTTTGACAGATAACATCAGGGGTGTGTGGATTCATGCAGAACATGCAGGGGTGAGTGAAATAGCTTGGGACTGCTTGGGACCGTTGTTCTGGTACTGAGTGAGCCAAAAATAATAATGATTTTCTTCGGGACCCAGTGGTCTTAGAGTTACCTCTATGGTATTGGTGCGATGCGTGCTGTTCCACTCGTACGTCGTGTCCGACGCTTATCCGTCCGTTGCTTGAAAGCAAATGACGAAGAAAACGATATGGCAAGCGTTTTTATTACCGCTGCTTTTCTCCTCCCTTCCTTTCATTGGTGAAATGGTGAGTGGTTAACCGAGCATTGAGCTCGCTGATGTGAGAAAGGGGAATATGTCGCGTGTTCGATTTGCGCTCTATCGTTACGTCCGTGTTTGGAATTTTTCGTTTCATGTCCGAATTTTGATTTTTGTTTTAATGTGACCCCCAGTATAGAAATTAAAGACGTAGTCCTACGTCAAAAAAATTTTTTTTTTCTGATTTGACGAGGCTCGGTAGCTTATTGGTTAACGTTTCTGCTTTTATTTGCTCTGTTCGGGACATAAAACCACTGCGACCAGTAATTTGATCTATTGTAGCATATACCATGCCCTTAGTTTAGTGCATCTCTATTGAGAAATGATGAAGTATTCGGTTTTGATACAGTTGTCACTCTTGCCTTTTACGCAAGGAATCGATTCTAATTGCTATTTATACCCTTCGGAGTGTTGAAATATCCTCCAAAGACGCGCCCCTTTGTCAGCCAAAATTCCTTAGCAACAAATTAAACAATGACACCGATAATGACCATGCATCAGAACCCTAGTCTTAACCACTTCAAACTAGAAAACAACGAATAGAAGATTAGCAATCACATAGATGAAGACTAACTAGCTCATATTTTTCCTTGTTTCAAGTTCATCCTCGGTTGACAAAGCCGAGTATTGTCACTATCAACAAGATCATAATCATAATCATGATCAAGATTGACCGCCCACGGTTGCTACTATGTTATTGCCAGACCAGCTGTAATTACACAGAGAACCAATAGACGATGCTTGGGACTAGAAATCATCCTCAATGTGTAAAAACTGTTGATCTCAAACTAGGCAATACCAGCGCCGGCCGCGCCCAAACGCAGGTCAAGAAAGGAATGTGTTGGAATGTGTTGGAATGTGTTGACGACACTCGCTTTGATGGAAACCGAGAAATCCTCTCCACTTCCACGAGGAATCACTGGAATGTTGGGTAATAGGGTAGGGTTTGCAGCACCAACATCAACAGGCCTCTTCGTAGACTTTCTTCGAACAATCGCAGGTATCTCCTTCCTCCTTACGTGATAAATATAATCGTTGAAGGTCTGCTTGACATC